AGGTGCTCCCTGGTTGATGTGCATATTGCAAGTAGCACATAGAGCCATGCTACCATTATTTAATACGAATGCACCCCAAAGAGTGAAGTGACAATGCAGCGAGGAAAACCTTCAATGTGGCAGCCCCTTCGATATCTAGAGCATTAACGCTCGTATTGTCATGGGCTAAGTAGATGCCGGAGGATGACGACGACGAAGTGCTGAACGTGAACTTGCTCGGGCTGCAGCAGTGTTGTACGCATTAGCTCGCCAGTATATTCGCCAGTACGCATTTGCTCGCCAGTGTATACTTTATTCCCCGTAACAATATGAGCTTCAATGCGCTCAATTGTTTCATGAGTAACCTGAGTATACGTAACGCTACCTTAATGTTTCTTTTAGGGGTGGCTGAATGCTATCGTGCCAGTTTTGCATTGTTTTTAAAATGCCAAAAGTTTATCTTGTTCTAATAGCGTGCTTAATAGTTACTGTGCGCCGGTTTATACCACATCTGAAGGCTTAAAATACCAGGAATCTGAGACAAAGGCACGCATTCCACTTTCAGGAACGCACTTTGTTTTTAGCCTCAACACAAGCATGCTAAAATTGACACATGTAAATATAGTCCATCTTATTTAGTCTTTTTGGCGCACTTCATGGCACCAGAATGGTTATTGACGTGACAACATTAAAATATATGCTCTCGATTGCTGCATATACTAGAACACTATCAGTTGTCAATATTACCCCTCCCAGCTTTCCCATGCATTCACTCACAAGTTTTTTTTCTGGCCTCGCATCGTGTGCAATCAACTGATTTCGCTCCATTTTGTGTGCGTTCTTCACAGCGCAAGCGCAGATGACAGGTTGTAGCTAACAAGCGCAAAATCCTGATACATTGCTTAGTGATGACGTTGCACGCGTGCCTTGCATACAAGAAATAAGTGGTGAGGAGACACCACCCTCAAGAAGGGTAGTGAAGGCAAGAATGGAACAGATGGAAACGTGGTGGATCATTTGAATCTTCCAACAGAGGAACTCTTTAGTGTAGCAATGTAGCTATCCTGCAAAAATATGCGCATAATTCGATGGTTATTGCAGTTTTCTTTCACTAGTAAATATATGAACACTTTGGACAGGTTTATCTTATTGCGATCATTTTCCGTATGAAGTACATGTAAGGCAGGGCTAGTGGCAGCCAGCTGGCACGATTAATAGACGAAAATAGGTGAGGGGTGCTTAGAACATTCGGGCAGCTTTGACCAGCTGGACAACACAGCCATCGCTCTGCTTTGGTGTCTCACATCCGTCCTCAGCTGTACGCTTTCGTCCTCTCAATGAACTTGCGACGATGGCGCGTTTGTGCCACTCACCTTCACGTAGCTACATCCAAACCGCTACTATCACTCCGCGCTTCGCAAGTTCTATCTGCGAGTAAAAGCTTGCGAGTGTTGGCAAGAAACACGGCTGAAGCAGAGATGAAAGAAACGGCTCATCTCCATCGCATAGAGGACGCATGCGGCTTCATCATCCCGCATGCCATACCTGCCATCGCTTGATGCTCAAGAAGAAAGGAAACATCCCGCTCATATTTGCCTGGGAGAAGAAGCGTAAGGAATGCCGGAAAATTGGGAGAGGAAGGCCGTGTGGCTGACGCAGCAACTATGAACAATTAGGGCATTGTTGTGGCGAACGCTTGCGTGCGTGTGTATAAACGGGTGCAGAGGCGCCTTCAAGGTGGTAGAAAGATTCATCGCAGTGCCTCCTCCTTTATAGGTCAAGGTGGGGGCAGAGAGGGAGCCCCCCTCCTCCTCATCTTGGTAGTAGGGGTGTAGCCACCTCACACGCTTGCATATGGGCATGAGCGCTAGCCGTATACTTCAGCAAATGACTCGTAGACTATTCGGCGCGTTGTGACCTTTGCTAGTGCTGTATCATCACTGATGCGAGAAACGGCGTGAAAGCAACCTCTCTTGGGAGTGACCGTATTCCCATACATCATTATTTTGTAGTGATGCTAAATCGGATCAACAGGAGTTGGCTGCTGGTTACCCTTACTTCGTGTAGAATTACGACGTGTTCACACTACTCGCAATTTCAGCGGAACATCTTTTCTTTTGTTTTGAAATTCAAGGAACAATTTTCTCTACTCCACTAGTCTAACCCAGCACTTGGACTCACCAACAGAAAGATAGTGAGTACCAATGGGTTTCAGCAGGTGTGAGTATGAACGTGAATGATGAGCGACTATGAGTGTGAAATAGTGTGAGTGTGGACGTGATAGGGTATGCATCCATCTGAATAGATGAGTAAGAGCTGAAGTGCTGCGAGTGCGTAGAGGTGTGAGCTAGTAGGTATGTCAGTGCATGTGAGTATGAATGCGGGTGACTATTGATGAGTCCAAGTAAGTGTGAGCGTGAGAGAACGCTTATGAGTATGAGTGGGTGTGAGTATAATCAGGAACGAGCGCCCATGGGCATGATTAGGCGAGGGTGAACCGGAGTGAGTACTTACGAGCGTTAGTGGCCGTGAGTATGCCCACTAATGAGTAGCAATGGGCATGAGGTGTGAGTATGCGAGTAAGGGCCTATAATAATTCTAGGGCTTAGCGTGCCATCATATAATTATGAGAAAAGTCGTAGAGGAAGGCTCCGGAAATTTAGAGCACCTTGGGTTCTTTAATGTGCACCTTAATCTAAGCGCACAGGCCTCAAGCGTTTTCGCCTTCATAGAAAGTGCGGCCGCCGCGGTCGGAGTCGGTCCCTATGTGTGTGTAAGCCTGAGTATAACTTGAGTAAGAGCCTACGAGTGTGAGTATACGTGAGTATGAAAGTGAGTGAGTGTCTATGAGTGTAAGTAGGCATGAGTATGCGCGTGAGTGAGTGGTTACGAGTTTGAGTAATCGTGAGTGTGAACGTGAGTGAGCACTCATTAAGTATAGTAGGCCTAATTATGAATGTTAGGTAACACTCATCAGCATGAGTAGATATCTGTGAGGCTTAATTATTATACCTTCGGGCTACGTGCCCTCCGCAATAATATTTCTGATTGATTTCGACCATCATGTCCTGAACACCTGTTTGTTTTCTGGTACACCCTGCTCTCTTCTAGCCCCTTATGGTTACACTTGTCATTTTCCTTTTCGTTGCTCGCAGCGTCGCCCTCAACTTAGGTTGAACTCTCTTTGTAAGCCTCCAGGTTTGTGCTCCGTAGGTTAATAAGTACAGGTAAGGTGTAGCTGTTACATACCTTCCTCTTGGAAGATAGTGACAATCTACCATTCATGATTTAAAAATGTTTGCCAAATGTCCTCCACCCCAGTCTTATTCTTCCAATTATTTCAATAGCGTAGCTCGGCTCCGCAAGTTACTACCTGTCCTAAGTAGACCTACTATTTTGCAACTTCAAGTGCACTGATACCTATCTCAAAGCGCTGTTCTCTTCCCAGGTTGTTGTACATTAATTTTGTTTTCTGCAGATTAATTTTGCAGATTCCAAGAGAACGCAAGCGGGTGAAATGGAGACAGAAAGTTAGGTGGGCAGATGATATTATGAAGTTTGCTGGTGTAAAGTTGTTAAAGCAAGCACAGGTCCGAGTTGACTGTCAGAAAAGGGGACAGGCCTTTGTTCTTCAGGGGTCGTAGAGTCAGGCTGCTGCTACTAATGATGATGATGATGGTGAGTAGATGTGAGTATGAAAGTGAGCGAGTGCATATGAGTCTGCGAAGGCGTGAGCATGAACGGGAGTGAGTTCTTATGTGTGTGAGTAGACGTGAGTGTGATCGTGAGCGAGTGCCTAGGACTCCATGACTGCGTGTAGGAGTGAGTATGAGCGGGAATGAGTGTGAGTGTGTATGAGTGAACTTGGGTGAGTAATTACGAGTGTGAGTAGTATTTGTGAGTATGAACGTGAGTGAGGACAAATGGGTGTAGTAGGCATGAGCATGAACGAGAGTGAGTTCTCTTAAGTGTTAGTTGTGAGTATGAACATTAGTGAGGGCCTATTAGTGTCAGTTTACGTGAGTATAAAGTCAGTGAGTGCTTATGGGTGCAAGTAGTCATGAGTATGAAATGAGTGAGTGCCTACGAGTGTGAGTAGCTGTGAGTACGAGAGTGAGTACTCATAAGTGTGAGTAGTCATGTGTATGAATGTGAGCAGACGTGAGTATGAATGTGAGTGAGTGTGAAGGGTGAAAAAATTGTGGTGAGTGAGTATGAGTGAGTAGTCTCTCAAAATGCCGACCTACGTCTGCGTCATGTCTAGTCACCGTGACCGGGTTCGTAAATAGCATGGTCTTTAGTATTAATGCACGGGGGGGGGGGGGGCGGGGCGTGCTCTACCTATAAAATCCCCGTTCTGTTTGATTTTATGAGCACCACATTGTCGTAGAAACTGTTTAGCTTTGATTTACTACGTTGTTCTGTATTTTGTACTGTTTAGTGTATACGGAGCGTTGAATCCGAATCGGGTAACGTCGGCATTTTCTCACAGAGTGTTGTCGTGTTCATTCGGTCGCATGTGTTACGAGGTGAGAGGTGATCTATTTTCACCAAAATCGTATTCACTATCTCTGGCACTATAGGCCACCTTATGTAGAACGCACAAACACCACCATCTTTGTATGGTTCTTTTTTTTTTTTTTTGCATACCACGACGTGAAGGCCATGAAACGTCGACTGTGCGAGCCTTTTCATGCACATGCATCTACCCTGGCACTGTTTGATAAATAAAAAGAAATGCCTAATTCAGCTGCCCAATATCGTGGCAGCGAGGCTCATTGGTTAAATATGCATCTCTGGTATCAGTATGTGACACGTTGAGCTTTTTTTTCAGCAGGCGTTGATGTGCACCTTAATTATTTTATAAATTATGTCCATGTTAAGTGATGGCCAATTTTTGAGCGGATTAATCCTTTGTACAATAAGGTCGACAGGGGCACTTAATTTTTTGTCGCAGGAAGATGGCTATGTTTTGTCTGCATACATTACTGAGCCTGATCTCTTTTTTCTTTCCTTGGCAGACGAGATGGCCAATGGCCGCCTGGAGCGGTTCATTGGTCGGCACTTCCGTCCGGGCTTCGTGAAGCTCATCACGCTGCCCAAGCGCCAGGGACTGATTCGCGCCCGACTGACGGGAGCCCGGGTTGCGTCGGGCGACGTGCTCGTCTTCCTCGACTCGCACTGCGAGGCTACCGACCACTGGTGAGGAGAGAGAGCTCACATTCATAGTACGTAACTGTTGACTGCCGTGGCTGTGACGATAGAATGACGAACATTCAGCCAAGGAGCTAGGGTCAAGATTGTCAGCGTGCTTACGTTGGCTGAACTGCATGAAAATCAAGCCGAAGCTTTCGACTGTGTTCTCGCTGAAAATGTTCTGCATTGCCGGAAGGCCGCTGATATAACACCGCCCAAATGAAAGGCTGTTTAAAGGCGGCGAGCGCACGAAGACAATAAGCACAATGCACAAATGACACCATACCAAGTACTTCATCATCACACATCAGCAGGAAGTTGTGCTCGGCGTGTTCACTGTCTTCGTACACTCACTGCCTTTAAAACCTCGCCCACTCATGGCAGTGGCATAGTCGAGGGTGGCACACTAGGCCAGTGTCCTCCACCATTTTTCCACCCTGAAATTTCTTTTGCATACTGCGCACAAAATGACTCTCAATCACCTCTCCACTTCAGACCCAGAAGGTGCACCCTCCTCGCTCCCCCAACCCTGAAAAGAAAAATTTATGCCTGTACTCCCATGGCTCGTGGGGCTCTGATGGCGGGACGAAAGAACGATCTACCTCCACAGGGAACGAGTCAAATGGGAAAATGCAGTTTTAGGTGACTTTTGGTGTCAAAGAGTGCAGTTTTAGTTGTTTTTCTCTATAGCTTTCGAGAACCTATCATGTGACAGTCACTACACTAGTGTGCATTTTTTTTTTTTTGTCAGACTGCACTCTTATAACTGATAATATCGCTTGGTCTACAGCAAAATTTGCCAAACCCCATAGTTTTATTTAAATCTCATTACGATATCCTCAATGGCGTCGAGCAAAGCCTATATATGAGCGTTGTACGACAGCGACATACAAGGAAAGCTTTGCACATAGTACCGGCAGGGTCGGCTGAACATTCGCTTTTCGAAGCAGTGACACTGCTCGGTGGCAAGCTGGTCTCGGGCCGCTGTTGCCACCGAGTTCGATGATACAATTTAACTTGGAAAGTTGTTAATTCAAGTGAAGCTGTGCTTTCCAATACCCACAGGAAAAATCAAGCGCGGTCTATGCCGCCTTAACTCTCTGAACTGATTCGGTCAGTCCGTCTGGTAGCTCGACCGTTCTACATTGACTGCTGTGTAAAACCTGCCCTGCAGGGATCCGTAATATGCGTGCATCTTATTAAATTACTGCTGTGCTGATCGTTCTGGTGGCCGCTTTGTTGCTTAATCAAGAACAGAGACGTACTCTTCGTTGGTTACGCCACCGGGATACCTGGTAGCCGAATAAAATAAAATCACGCAGCCTATAGGTTTAATCGCTTGTATTACTGGCTAATTCGTTCAGCTTCCCAACCAGTCAAATATAGCGGCATTATACGACGGCGACCACACATGAAAACAGTGAGAGGCTGTATAAAAGGTAAATGAATACGCCCAGTGCATTAGCCTCAATTTTGGTTGTGCTTGCGTGGAATCGAGGAAGTAGTAGCTTGATCTGGACTGACACCCCTTTTCTTTCCACCTTCCCCCTTCAACTATAAACATGCAGTGTTAAATCCGGCAGCGCTTCTGCGTATAAGATGAATATCTCTACAAAATAGAAATGCATCATCTCGGTGTTCTTCCCGCCTGATTCAAGTCAGTTGCTACACAGTCACACTTAACCGGGAATCGAAATCTGGATCTCAATTCAATTCATCTGACGTCTGCACCAAAGTCGATCTGGATTAGTCAATCAAGTTGTTGATCGCATTTGATAAGTGCGATTGAGATAGGCCCTAGCTGGTCGCTATCAAAGAGTGATCGTGTTGCGAGCTGTAATGAATTTCTTCGGTGGCATCAAACAGTGTATCACCAGCAGCTTAAACACCCGCGCTTCCCAAATGCAAATACTATATCCACAGGAATGCGTTGTACAGGCGTCACAAAACAGATCTAAAAACTGTGTACGGGAGCCCCTGGAAATATTCGGTAGAACTAACTTCCTTCTATGGGACAAAGCTGACATGAAAGATATTGGGAGAATTGGGACTTTGCGAGAATGTAATGCGAGTGCACATGTCGGTAGTCTTCGTGTGCGAACTCCTGCTGTATGCTCCGAAAGCCAAGGAATTCACACTCAACTAATGAAAAAGTCACAGCTTTGCCACAAAGGCGAAGCAATGAATATGATTGCAACTAATTGGAAGGTTAGGTGCAGAATGGCAAGCAGATCCAAACGTACTCTGCATTTCTCATGCACAAATGATGCACGAAACGTACTCACAGGTACAGATAAACGCGAATAAGCGTCTAAATTGTTACTTCGATGTGTCTGAAAAGCGCGCCCTTTTCACAAATGGAGACTGTGCAGTGATTGCATTGACCTTTGTGCACCGGGTAACTAGAAGAGAATCGTTACGGTAAAAGCCCACGGCCAGTCAAGCCCTACGATTTTCCGTACCGCGAGATAAGCGCACAAGTGATCATCCACTCTGCCCCCCTCTCTGCGGGGCAAAGTACGTGCAGGAGATGAGAGGGTGTGCCGCCGTTTCATGACGATGTGGCGACACGCGCTCATTGCGCCATCTTGCTGATAATGCTGAAAATATGATATTTCCCCTCCCCCCGAGATGCCCACCAACAGCGGTAAGTGGTAGATATAAATAGCTAGCCATTTGAATATTGAAGGACTTGCTCCTCCGTAACTCAGTAGTTAAGGCCTCGCACTCGAGATTAAGAGGTCTCAAGTTCGATTCTGTGTGCCGGAGTCTTTTTCTGGGTTATTTTTCTTTCTTGTGTTTGCATATATATATAAATACGCATACATGTATTGTGAGTGACAATGCCACCGATGTCGACGCTGGCGGAAAATTCGAGCTGAGACCATCCACATAGTTGCTATTGGAATAAAAACAACAAAACATAGACGTTTCGTTTCATATATGCACGTGGTATCGTCATTATACATAAATTACATCCGATTCAAGATTAGTTCAATCTTGCCGTAAGTATCCGGCTGGGGGTCACGATTACTATTGCATGCAGATTCACTACGACGGATTAATCATGATTCTGCAAACTTTATTGAACCCTATCATTGTTCCTGTGCCAGTGTTGTCACATTATCAAAATCGAACACGTGTCTTTCGACAGGCAACGGTCAACTATACTTGGTTACAACCTAAACATAAATACACGCTCCACCTCCTGTACAGCAGCACGCCTGTCATTCATGTGTGCAGCAGATCAATAAATGGTGATTTTTGTTTTAACCATAAACACATTTTTTTTGCTGATGCGAATATTACGCACATTATAAATTAAGTGTTTGTCGTTTGGAACATTACGTTTTGCAGAGCATTGAAATCGGAATTTTTACGAAACTGGCCAAGTATAATTTTTTGACCTAACACTAGCAAAATGAAGACGAGCCTGTACGTGCAAATGATATTTCTGAAATTTGTGAAATCTGCCTGAAGTCACATAAATAGCTGACTGCAATTTATTAAAGACATATATGCAAATTCTGCCTGGCATCAAACAGTGTCAACATCCCACCAGGCGCTGCCTGGTGGGATGTTGATGACTGTAGGCGGAGCTTGCATTTATTCTTATAAGCTGTAAGCGACTATATAGTTCTGTCTGAGCATGTGTTGCATCTCTTGCATGCTCCTTGAGGCGAGTACGAGGTCAATGCACTTGGCGTCACAGTGCCAACTTAGGTGGCGAAACATGTATGTTTTTATTTGTTGACTAAAGGGGCCAGTGTTTAACACTGTTGAGTAGGCCCTATGGGGCAGAGGCGAGTGTTTGCAACGTGAATGTTTATGCACCCTCATCAAAAGCTGTTGTGGAAATTCCACCCCCTTTAGTGACTTTCTCCTGCCTATGCACACAAAGAGGTGTTGGGTGTGCTCGCTCTGTAGGGCCGTTACAGACGCCGAAGTTGTGTCGATGACGCTCTACTGCAACATTTCACAGAAAGCTACAACCACGGTTATTCCTATATAGCATAAAAAAACTATGCTTAGGCATTACCTTGACAACTCTTACAAGGAAATTTAGCGTGGAGATATTTCTTCGCATTTTCGGTGCTGAGCTCCAGGGTGCTTTTTGCCACTATGGGCCCACAAGCTGCGAGAGTAAAGTGCTAGAGATTCTTGCTTTGTGACTTTTCGTTTTACCTCTCACTTCATGACAGAAAAAAAGAAATGACACGCGTTTCAGGTCACAGAGGCAGTGATGGAAGTGCTGCTCCAATTGCTCCAAACTGCTCCAAATCAGAAATGCTGCTTCATGCTGCACCAAAGTACAATATTTGCTAGGAACTGCTCGACACCTGCTCTGAAAGGATGTTTGCAAAATAAAAAGAATGAAGTTGAACCGTGGGACCATCCCGTGAGCATAAGCAAAACCAAAAGCAAGCTGTATACACTATCATCCTAGTATGCCACTCAGTGGCATAAATCCAGAAAAATCACACGGCATGACACATATGGGTTTTATTTTTATATATATAGAAATTAAATTATGCTTTAAAATAAAGTTTTAAAAATGAGTATGGGGTCCGAGCTCCAGCGGTTGCATTGTTGTATTCAGTCTCTTTTGTTCACCTTTTTTTTATTTCCATAGTTCACACAGCTTAGGGTATACACAGGTACGCATGAAGATAAAAAGCCATTTGAAAAGTTGATTACACTATACTTGACTGTTAAATCAAGAACACTTGCAAGGGGTGTCCTTCCCAGCCTGAACACCACAAAAGCCCAGATTCTTTTGACCCCCCCCCCCCCCCACCTATCATTTACGCCAACTATACTGCTTGTATACTAGCTGCATACTAGTGTATTGTGTGTTTAATAATATAAATACAAATATTTATTAGATGCCTAAGTGACGTTTTAATCTTCAGGAGGCGCTAAGAACATGCATCTACCCTGAAAACACCAATAGCAACCCTTAGCTATAGCATTTGTTTCTGCTCCGAATACACTTGAGCCTGCTT